GCATGAGAGCTTGGCATCCCCGCCAAAGCCTCACTGAGGTCTGGGGGCTGCATCCCTCAAGGGGGTTGGCAGATTTGGGGAGAGGACTCTCTGTGGAGACCTAAATGCAGGTCCGTCATCTCCTCCCGTTGAAATGACAGTGGGCAGAAGCTGCCTGCCCCGGGGAAATCAGCTTCCCCAATTTCTACAAGTAAGTTTCCGTTCCCAAGCGCGGTCTCCACCTCACCTGCTCCTCCTTTCGGTCCCGGTGGCTGCCTGTCCTCCCGGGCACTTGTTGGCACTGCACAAAGCGTTGACTCTTGGAACAGCAAACAAATGAACAATCCCTCTGTGGCAGGTCAGGCCAAATTCTGCTTCTTGCCTTGAGAACACCGTGTTTATTAAGCCTTTTTCTGTGTGCCTTTAGCCTGAAATGCTTTGCCCAAACTGGCCTCGCTCCATGGAAATAAACCCCTTACCTGGCTCAGTTTGGAGCTGTGCCCCTCTCCCGGCTTCCTCGCTGCTGTCACTGAAACACAACAGCTCCACTTCCGCAGACAGAGGCAGGAAGGGTTTCTAGAAACCAAAATAAATGCCTTAGAGATGTGTTTAGAAAGGGTCTCGCTGTGTTCTCTCCAGCCCGTGCTGTGGCTCAGCCCCGAGGTGGGAGAGCGCTGCCCGAGTCAGGACTTGGCCCAACCACCCAACGCACACTCCCCCCGTTTCTGCTCTGGCACCCCGGAGACAAGAGAGGAAAACCCACAAAGGGGCTGCAGAGCTCACTGTGCACAAACAAACTCGCTTCTGCACTGATCCGTTGTAAGACAAGCCAATAGTTAAATATTTCAATATTTGGGTAATAAATGAGAATTAAGCAGGTAAGATTTTTATTTGTGCGCTTTCTAGGTTATCCAACCTGCACCAGCCAAGAGACACATCTCAGCAAAGTATCGGTCATCCCCTACTTACACCTACTGCGGTGTTTTCAACAGCAAATTTGCTAAAACTTACCTGTGTCTTAACAGTAGGAACACATGCAGCTAACCGACTCGGTTGCCTCCAGCCCCAGTCCTTTCATGCCGCCCTCTACCAGGCACAGACGAGAGCCATTACCGAATTCCCCAGGTCGTCCCTGACTTAGGAATGAGCGCTGCCTTCTCCACAGACAGGCTCTTGCCTGCTCCGCGTTGGCACCGCCTGCAAACGGATGCGGTGGAGTGGGAATGTCAGGCACAAGGGCTTTGTGAGCACGACAGCGCTGCAGGGAAGGGAAAGGGATAGAGAGCAGAGAGGCTGGCAGGCGGACGTGAAGGCATCGTGTGTCCCAAGAGATCCCTGCCTACATCCTGGATAAACCTCAAAACGTTCACAGTGGAAAGACTAAGCCCAAGGTTACGGGAATGTTGCATGATTTACTGCCCCGCCAAGCCTTTCTCTGAGCTGTCGCTGTGCCCTTCTCACTTGCAGAGGGAGCAGCAGAGCCCGCCTGTCCCCGACGGGCCACCCCCTGGGGAAGGTGGCGTTGGCCTGGAGCGGCGCTTCAGCAGTGGCCGAGAAGCGAGGAGGTGGTGCGGCTGCGACGTCGCTCAGGCAAGGAAACGCTGCTGTCTTTGGAAGGGGCTTTGCTGGGCGAGAGGGAAGACCGTGCGATAAAAGAGGTGCTAAACGCTGCCCTTTTCACATCCTCCTCCCCACGGTCCCCAGGTTGTCACCTCTGTTTGTGCACACAGGCAGAGAGGCCGCCCTTCCCTGAGCTGGCACACCGTGGGACACGCTCCAAAGCACACAGGGGTCTTCGCAATAAAGTTTGGACCCAGACTTTATCTTTTGGTTGTTCAGGGATTAGCCTGAAAATATTATTCTTAATTAAAATGGGTTCTAGTGACCCGATTGCTGGCAATATTGCCAGCAGTAGGAAAACAAGAAAAACAAACGCTTTTAGACAAATCCCCAAATGACATTAAGTATCTTACGATGAAAATCCAGATTAGCAGTCTTTGCCAAGGGATACATATTTCCAAATACTGTTTCCTACCCCCAGGGCCACCACGGGTCTTTTCAAGGACTCTAGAAGCTTATTTTTACCCACATACTTCTTTTAGGGGGAGTTTTCTTCTTTTTTGGGGGTAATGGGGAATAGGACAGCTGGATTTTTGTAGCCTCCCCTGTTGAGAGCACCGAGCCCCTCACTAACAGAAGCACTCAGCACTTACGCAGCTGGCGGGGGAATAAGTCACCAAATCACAGACTGGTTGAGGTGGGAAGGGACCTCCGGAGGTCGGCTGGCCCAACCCTCCCTGCTTGCCCAGGACCACCGCCAGGCAGCTCTTGAGTACCTCCGAGGGAGGAGACTCCCCAAGCTCTCTGGGCAACCTGTGCCCGGAGAACTGCCTATGCTCAGAACAAGAACGTATTCAAAGCAAGAAAACCACGGGGGCTGAGTGCAGTGCCATCATCCCACAGCCCTGATGTGTCCCTGGAATGGGAACGGGGGCATTTAGTGCCCAGTTCCAACATGAAGATAATAACAGGATGCGTATGCCATGAAAGGATGTACCCCCCTCCCATTCATCACAGACCTTGTTAAGCTGCTCGTCACTAATTCAGGCAAATCTGAAATTCACGCTCATTGAAAATAGAATTATATACGTTCTTTGTTTAAAACCAGAAGAACATGAAAAATTACCTCATTTTCAAGGGCACCCTTGTTCACTCCCAGTGGGATCAGCTCCAGGGACACAAAAATCAGGCCAAGCTCCTGCCAGGACAGCTGGTGGTAAAACCTCCCTGGAGCTTTTCAAACTGAATTCCTTAAACTTGCAGCTTAGAAACTGAGGAGCCACAACGCACAGCGTGGACTTCGCCTGTGTCCTGGGAATCCCGCGGTACTCCTTTGTCTTTTTGCTTTCAGGTGACCAGAGCTCCTACGTGAAGTGCGACCGAGCGCGGGGCTGGTGGGGACTGTGCAGCGCGGCGCCCCTCGGCTGCCTCCGGCGGCGACGCTGCGAGGGGAGCAAAGCCAAAGCTGCAAGGGCACAGCAGATGCCTTCCGAGACCATGCTTATTTTTGCAACAGTCAAAGACTTCTTTCTTTTAAAGCACGATGAGTAAGGATGAATCTTGAAGCCAAGTGGCTGACAGGATCCCTCGGAGCTCCCAGCACAGTTCTTGCATCTCCTGTGGTCCTGCCGTACGCAGTCTGACGTTGCTGCCAGGCTCTGCTTGCTACACCTCACGGCTTGCTCCTAGCGAAACACAATCCATTTTCTAAGCAAACGGGAAAATAAAAACCCCTTTCCTCTTCTCTGGAGTTCTCTGCCAAGAAATTCCGCGGGTACCACAAATAAAAACATCTCGAGGACTGCGTGGCTTCCACCTGTGCTGCAGAGAAAAGCTTCGGTGTGTTATCCGGAACACAGAGCGCAGCTTGCCCCAAACCGCGCTTTGTTCACTCGATTCTGTGGACATCCTCAAACACTGGTGAAGGAGCTTTTCTGTAGCCAGGAATTTCTGGCTGCCATATAGACACGTTGGGGCAGAAGACGGAGAAGCCCCCAGTCTCCTAATTCGAATTGGAAAAATAACCCTAAGCAACCAGAGCCAGACTGAGGGGTCGGGAAGGAATTTTGTTATAATTTCATATTTCAGCATTGTCACCTAGACAATCAACTCCTCATCATGAAAAAGATTAAAATAAGCTATTTTTCCAGTCCTATAGGAAGCTCGCCAGGTATTTACAGTTTATGTAGTTCTTCACAGCCATCTAAAAATAAACTATATGCTCCAATATAATCCCTCGAGGCCCTGGACACCCCTCCGCAACCACTTACCACTTCAAGAGGGAAAAGGGGAACCTGTTATCCCCCACTGCTTCATCACGTTTTTCCTGAGTGCCGATGGCCTCTGAAACCCTCTGCTACAAATCAGGGGCCACGACAAAAGAACAAACCGAGATACCCGGTTATTCAAGGCTACACGGACAAAGCCAAGAGGGAGATCTCAGAAGACCTGTTCAGCACAGATGCTAAGAGGAATCAAGCAGAACAGCAAGACGTTCGCTGCCATTACTGCTTCCCTTCTGCCAGGGTAGTTGGAGTAGATTTTAGTAGGTTAGCAGACCGCGGTGCCGAACAGTCGGCGCTAGCTCGCACCCTCATCTTCCTGCTTCACCTCACCCATGCTTCACCCGGGCAGCAGGCTGTTAATTGTGACCTTAACAACAGGCTTCACTTTTTTTTAAGTTCAGGAGTGACACTGTGGTATTACTCCAAAGATTATCGATGTAACTGATTCCGCTGCCAGTTCGGAGCCTACGGAGGCGATTTCTCCATGCCTCAACACTGCCCACTTGGCTATGAGCAGCTGAGAAGCTGTATAGAAGAAGCTATTAAAGATGTTCTTCCTTAACGTGTGGTTACTTTTATTCATGTATCAGCCTACTCTTTTATACGTTTTTATATATATATTTCTGGGCCACAGATCGTGATGCTTATAAAGAAATGTTAGTCCCTACAGAACTGGAATGACAGAATAGAAGCAGGGAAAACAACAGAAGAATAATTATGCAAGAAAAGTGGCAGCACTTCTGCATGAAATCACCTCAGAAGGCTGGAATAAATGAGCTTGAAAGTGCCTTGGGTAAAACGGCTCGAGGCGGTTTATTGGCCACTGATTTTGCAGTTCTGCATCTTAGAGGGACGGAGGAATCTCGCTCCTCGCGCCGAGCTTCAGAACCCGTACAGCCCACGCGCAGTGTCAGCGCGAACTCTCCCTCCCGGAGCAGCGCGCTCCTGTTCCGGGCCCAGTGAGGGCAGCTGAGGAAAGCAGAGGTCACCCACATTTTTCACCTGTCCACTTCATAAACAAGCATGACCTGGATCCAGTTTTCGCGCAGCTGCACAACCTGTTGGGCCCATTCCTTCCATGGCATTGCGTATTTCCCCACATATATACCCCAGGGCTCGGCGTGCAGCTGCCACGGGCGCTCGCTGGCTTCACCGCGTCGCACACAGCACACAGCAATGGCGCGCTCTGCCACGGAGCTGACTGCTACTCTGCTCATCACCGTGGTCCTCTGCAGCAACCTTGGTAAGTTTTGCCAATTACAAAAATAGCATGTTATTCTTTTTTTTAATAATTACCCATCATTATTCAAATTTTTAAAATTACCCACATTCATTTATTATTAAAATTATTTTTCATCCAAAATGCTGACAATTCCAGAGAGAGGGGAAAGAAGGTAATTACTGAATATTACAGACAACCTGGGGGACGAATACATGAACATATTCAGAGAAGGGAGCTGAATCGTTTTTGATGTCTGGTTAGAGAACAGGGAATAACATAAGGAAGCAAGGGTGCACGGAAAAGAGAAAAAAAATCCCACTAAGCCTGAGAAGAAGCTGGATTGAGAAGAGAGAGGAGAGAAGAGAGGAGGGAGGAGGGCTGAGGACCAGCAGGCAGAAGCTTACCCGTGAATGGTGGGATTCCGCCGAGGGACCTGTGCAACAGAGCAGCTCCCGCAGTGGCGACCCATTTCTCTGAGAGGTTTAAAAAAACCCGCAAAGCTGAGAACACGCTCAGCAAAACCTCAGTGTGATTTGAATGTCGTTATTGGGATGGAGAGGGGGTAAAGGGTAGAAGCAGCTGAACCTGAGCAAGTGAAAGGTTTGTTCGTTACACTCCACTTTGTCTTTCATGCTGCAGGAGCCAGCTCTGCTCACGAGATCGTCCCTAGCTTTCTCCAGACACTTCTGGAAGGCTCTGCTGAACAGCTGTACACTGGACCGATTTCTCAATATAAAGTCGATGATTTGACTAGAGCCGCTTTGACTGCATTAAAGGAATGTATTGATGAGCTTTCTCCTGAGCACAGAAAGGCCCTCGTCAATCTCCTGGTAATTCACTCCTTTTATTATTATCATAAATGGCTGTATCACTGCGCAGCCTTGTCCCGGACTCTGGACAAAGAGCACCGGAATACTTTAACTTAAGCATCCCCTGGCCTCAGGTTTGGTTGCATACAGCACAAAGCTCCCAAGTGCTTTGAGAGATCGTTAAATAGAAGGTAGTCTCCACACAAATACAATGATTTCTCTTGGTGGCTGGAATGAATGGAGGTGCAAACTCCCCCCGGGGAAGAAGCACCTGCTTCATGCAGGTGTGTTTTTAGGAACAGAGCCAAAATGAAAGAAAACTTCCAGGTAATAGCAAGAAAGACTCGGGTGTATGTCACACACTTGCTCTTTGTTAGTGTTCGCACAGGAACTCACGACATGTACTGACCTGGTGAGCACCTGCAGGTGGGAGACAATGCCTTTGTCCTCACGCAAGTTCTGCCAGAGGTTACACTCTCAGTATACAGTTCCAGTACCATAGGTCAGTCTGCCTTCTCTGCAGTTCTCTACTTGGGCATGCCACATTCACCGCTCTTACCTTCTGTTTCAGAAACTTGTTCGGACAAGGGCTTAAATTAGTGAAATATTCGACCCAGCTGCTGGCAACGCTTCTCAATGACTTCCAGTTTCTCATATCCAAAGCCTCTGGGAAAACAACAAATACGAAAAATGGAGAAAATCAGGATGCTGGCAGATGTTTTTGTAAACTCTGTGTGCTGAGTACTGCTCCCTGTCACCTTCCAGTCCATTTCAGATCTTATTTCTTTACACGTAACATCTAACTTCTAAATAAAATTCAGATGATGTTTTAAAATTATTTCTGCTTTTATAAATAAAGGTTTTATTTCCTCCTGTTTACTGCAAGGACAAGGTGCTGTTTGTTTTGACAAAGTCTAAACAACAGCATTCTTACAGATACTGACTCACCTACAAAACACACAGACACAACCACCCCCAGCCAGCGCTGGGGCAGCAGAGGGAGACACGGAGAGGACCGTGGTGCCGTGCAAGCACTGCTCAGCAACAGCCGAACGCGGGGGTGCTGGCGACACTAGAGACAGCACCGCGCCAGCTGCCATGAAACAAACGACCTGCACCCCAGCCAGGCCCAGGGCAGAAACCCTTCTGTGCCCGCTCACGAGCCTTATCCCTGCGAGAAACCCAGGACAAAATGGGCATTGGGCTGATCGGGGAGAAATCTGAACACAGGCTGCCACCTCGCTTCTCTAGCACATCCTCGAAAGTACACGGAGGACCGCCGGCACGTTTCTTCTGCACCCCAGGGAAAGGCCTCCCTTGCCTTCATCGGCAAGGAAAGCCTCCCAAAAGCGGCACCACGGAGGTTCTCCCAAACCTCCCACGCCGAGAGCCCCAACAGCAAACTCTGCTCACAGACACCGGGGCCAACACACCCTCCGCAGGGACAAGAACACACAGCTGAGGGGACGGCTGGAAAAGGAGACGCGAAACAGCAATGCCAGCTGCTCAAACTACGTTCCCGTCGTTCTGTGACCCCGACAGCACAAGAACACGCGGTGCCAGAGAGGATGCAAAAATCACACGGCTCTTGCCCTCCTTGCACGGTTCTGCGAAGGTCTGGCCCCGCAAGCTGGACGTGCCCAGCCCCGCTCAGCCGCGTGATGCAACAGCACCTACGACAGGCGCCAGCGGCCCGTGTGATGTCACAGTGCGTCGCCGTGACCAGCCAAGGCCTCTCCCAGGGACACCTGGCAGCGGACACCACAACCTCTCCTGCCCCCATCCCTGACGGACCTCACCGTCGCCCTCGCCGCGCTCTGCGACCCAGAGCTGCAGCAGCCGACAAGCCCGTCCGCACCCGGGCCCATGGCCAAGGGGCAGAAAGGCGAAGCGCTGCCGCTCCCTCC